GTGGGAAACGGGGACGGGGGGCAAAATCTGCCCCCTGTCAAAAATCCCCACGGGGATTCCCGTCCCCGTGATTCACGGGAACGGGGATGGGGAAGGGGTCCCCGGCCTCGCGGGACCCCGTTGACATCCCTACTCTAGACGCTTAATGCGTGGTGTTGACAATCCAATTATGTGTCAACACCACTCCCGTGTCGGGTTTCTGGCTCTTTTTGCAATTTCGTCAATGATAAAATTGTAGATCTGGTCCTCCATATTTTGTACAACGAGCACTTAGATTCCGAAACTTAAGATTCATTCATTTAGATCCCAAAGAAGCACCTTTCTCCTTGCAATTCAGTCCCTCAACTTTCAAAAAATATTCAATTAATCTCACAAACTCCTATTATTATGCATTAAAGTTTTTTTTACAAAAAATAAAAATATATAAAATCTCATAAAATTTATCTAAATAATAATATTAAGACAAAAATTTCACATTAATATATATATATAAATTCAGCTCATCACCAAAATTTAACATACCCATAACTTCGACGGCCTTTATGATGTTTGAAAAAGAAAAAGAAAATTAATGTAAGGCATGCGTAAAAATTGAGTTGTGTTAACTTTTAAAATATTTAAAATAATATAAATTAATTTAAATATTTTTAATAAATTTATTAAAAACATTTAAATAATTATGTAAAATCTTATTATATAAAATATTAGGACTGGATTTTTAGTATATATTTTTTTAATATAAGTATTTAAATTGGAAGTGTATGCGCAAAAGAAATCGAAAAGCCGAGTTTTCATTTTTCACTCTTTTTTTTTTTCCCCATTTTTCTTCTTTTTCCCCAATGGTCAGAAAAGCTTTGTTCTTTACCTCGCGCTGCTCTCCCACTCTCACTTACTCTCTGCAACCTCTAATAGCGAAAACCGCGACGGCTCTGTCTCGGATCCACTCTTCCAAGCCTCAACCCTCGCTCTCTCTACGGATCTCTGAGTCGTCTTTAAATTTTTTCATTTCATCGTTCGCTATTGAATTCCGAATTCTGTTTTTCACTATTTCTGCATTTTTTGGATAAAAATCGTCGATTGGGTTTAGATGTTTAGGCATTCAATATTTCTGCAAAATACATGCAATTTTTTCTGTTTGATAGCTGTTGTTCTACGTAGTTAATGGTGGATGGGAAAATATTAGGGTTTTGTGATCCTGAGGAGATGGGGTGAAATTCTATTATTTATAGGATAAAGTAACTTTGAAATTAAATTTGATCACTTAAATCCGAAGAATTTTGGGATGGTAACTTATTTTCTTTGTTGCTGGATTGCCTATAATGTCTATGTTTTTTCAGATTATTGTGAATCTATTATTTTGGGGGTGATGATATCAGTGACTCAAGAGCTGATCCTAGCTTGTTTAAATGATTCCAAACTCTTTGTTGTCTCCTTCAATTCTTCATTTGATTTTGAGTTTCTTTATTCACCTTGCAATGCAGAAACAGTTAGTTGTAGAGAAGCCTTTCATCCTTCTGTAATAGGTTGTAGTGGATATATTTGAACCTGTCCCCTGCCATGTTCTGCATGATAGACTTCTTTCTGTACGCTTACTGCCACTTAAATGTTTAGCGTTGGTTGATTTGATATTTAAGATAATTTGAGAATGATGGTAAATAATGATATGTTTTTGAATTGTGGATTCCATTTTATTTGATCTTTATATGGCTTATTTTTACAATACAGGTGCAGATTCTTTCAAATTTTAAGCACGGTGGTATAATTTGAGAATCATGATCTTCTTTTTTTTTTTTTTACAATACGCCAATGCCTTTTCTACATTGAAGTTCTCAATTTGGGAAGTGTTAAAACTAGTAGATTGCTCAAAGGAGTAGAGACCTTAAGAGAGATATGTTGATCTCTTGGTCTCGGACTAATTAAATCTCAGTTTGCTTAATGGGTCATATACTGGCCCAAATAGTTTTACAATTTTCCTGACCGTTTATTTTATTTCAGTATTTTTTACGCAGCAGGCCCAGCCCGTGTAGATTACATTAATATATCTAATTCCTTCATGACGTTTGATTGTTTGTAGCCTCTGCAAATTCCAATGATCGAATTCCTTTGTTGCTAAATAAAAAGCTAAAACATTGATATGTCGCTGACCATTAAAAAAAAACCAAAAAAATCCGATACGTTGCTAGACATCATGATAAAGAAATACTAGCATCTCTTTTTTTGCACTTTTTTTTAAAATTTGTAAAGTAATTGGTTCATATATTAATTATTTTAAATTTTAAAAACTTAATAATATCGTGAGTGTTGATGAAAAGTATGAAAAAAAAATATATTGCTATTATACCTTCTCTTACGAAGTACGAACAAATAAGTCATTTTTTTAATGTAAAATAAATAAAGAGAAAGAAAAAAAAAACATGGCAAATTATGTAGATAATTAATCTGAAAAGCCACACATTTAACTATTATGGCAAATCATCCAGAGCCTTAATGTTCAACCATTTTCAAGATATAAAACCACTCACAAACAAAACAAACAAATAAAATCAAGAAAAAAAAACATGGCAGATTTAAACAATAATAAACCACGCAATGTCTGTTGCAACAAAGAACGTGTACCAAAAAAGAAAAGAAGTACAGGAGCTGACATCTTTCCTCTTCACCATCATCATCGCCAACAACTTTCTCATTTACGCCCAGCTATAATAAGCACTGCAACACAAAGCTTATGATTAATATATATAAAGAAGGAAATTAAATATTTATAAAGTTAGACAAAGAATGAGTTAATGAAAGAGTTACCTACC